ATTTTTCTTGATGTGTTGAGTTTTGCCACTCATGACCCAAACTTCTAGTTCTAGCAGTCAAAGTTCACCATTTAACAAATCCTATGAAATATGTAATTATGAGTTAACATCCAATCCAATACTTGTTACTATGCAGTTTATACATTGGTTGTTGTTGTTTACATGCTCTATTTTATGATACACACAGCTGTTCAGTGTTCTAGAAGTACAGTTTACTCTTAGCATACTCAGAAAATCGTACTGTGACATAATTCATCACAATAACAATAACGTATTGTTACACTGGCCAATCCTATTAGACATCCTTCTTTCACCCCTAAGCCATGATGCCTGTGTACACTAATAAGAGAAAGCAGCCTCTTAACTGTCTTCAAAAGTCAGCACAATGTGGGTGATAATCTTTGAATCTCAATTTCAAGGCTGATGCACACAATGAAAAAAGGGCTGGTTTCTTCTTCTTCAGATCTGCTCACCCAGCACAAGGGCTGGCTTTATTAAGAGGCACTGGCCATCCCCGAGTCTCCTTCAGCCCTGTTGAAGAGCTGACACTCTGAACCCTGACCGGGACAGCAAGGCCCACGGGTGGGTCTGGAAACATGTTGGTATCAGACAGAACCCCAGGGTGAGATCTGGTTCCGCACGCCTTCTTTGAAGAAAGGAGACAGGGCGGAAATGGAGGAAATCAGCAAGATAAGAAAAGTACACATTGTGTATTAATTTACACACCATCCAGTCTCCTCTATAAGCTGCAGCAGGGAACATCTCAGCCGCATGAGGTGCTGAACTACATCTCACATGTCTCAGTCATATGTGACACTGAGTTGTGTTAGTAAAGCTTCCTATCATGGCATGCTATGTCACAGTCTACATCGTCCAGCATCGATTTAAAGGTCACGATTCAATTTGTGAACCAAAATTAACAAATTAAATGGATTTACAACTCTAATTACCAGCAGCTGACCTAAGGAAATTAAAAAAAACCTGGGTTGCCAGATTGGGCAGGATCACCCAGGTTAGCATGTTACGCTACCTGCTATGAAAATAAATCTTTACCTTAACTGTATATAGATATATATATATTTTTATATTTATTATATATATATATATATATATATATATATATATATATATATATATATATATGCAATGGTATAAAAAAGAAAAATGAACAGTGAATATTGTTATTAAGAAAAATAATAATAACAATAAAAATGATATGATTTTTCCCATTCAATCATTAAAATGAAATGTCTTGAGCTTTTCTTAATCTTACAGAATATTTGAACATGAATAATATTTAATGAAAATATTAGACAGTTGCAGCATTAGATATGAAACACTATTTTTGATTTCCAGAAAAACAAATTTCTAAATATTATTAAATATATGCATTTTTAAATATTATCAATACAAATATATGTGTCATACTAAAACATCTTCAAAACAAGCTGGAAGATGATTTTATACAGATGGCTGCCCAACAAGGCTGCACTGAAACAGGCTTCTGAGAAACATTTATCTGGTTTTTGCTAGAACACAGATTTAAATTTCAAATCAAGATGACCATCGGTCAGATAACGTGTGCCACTTTCTAAAATCCTGCATGATCATGACCAGGATTAAAAAAACTATTCATTGTCTTTAGGCTCCAGAAAGTTGAGCTTCACCAGGTTTTTAAATCTTTGGTTTTAACATTCCGACATAGTTTATCTTACATCCATGTGTTGTAAGAAAAAAGGCTACAGTACTTTCACGTCCAGAACCTGGAGCACGCCAGAACTAACAGCGATACTTCACTCACACTGCATCCTGACTCATGTAAGACTGCGGTCTTGTCAAAGGTCCAAAACCATGACCCACAACTAAACCTCATATTACAAAACCCAAAATTCAGACCATATATTTTCGTATGGTCTCAAGAGGCCTTTAGACCAAGTACCCAAGCTTTAGACTCAAACAGGCCTAATGGTGTTAACACCACTGTGATGCCAGACACAGTTTTGTGGCATTTTGTGGTGCACAAACAAAGCTTCTCATGATGGTGGAAAACATCACCCCCCAATGCTTTATCATGGAAAATATTATGCACTACTCCTCAAAATGCCACTCCTTCCCGTCCATCTCATTCCCTCCCTCTATTGCTCCTTCCCTCCCTCTGCCTGTCTTATCTCACAACAACAAAATTCACAAAGGCTGTCTAAGAGGCAGGGCCTCCAGTCAGGCCCTGACCACAACAACTGTAGTCCTGTTCCCAACACAGCTTGACTTACACTGAAAAGTCACAAAAAGTGTGACCTTAAATCATTACCATGCATTCAGGCCCTCTGTGCGCGTGGCACTAACGCAAATCAGCTGATTTCGAAACAAAACGAAACAATGTCACAAATACAGCATACTAGTCCATCTCAGCAAGCTGACACCAAGTTTGACATAGACAGGAAGTTTACTCGGGTTTGTGAAAGGCTTCATGCACTCAGAGTTTGGAGGTAAGCAGCTAAGTAATGTTTTAGCCACTGACATTATAATAGTTCAATAAAGCAATAAGCCATCTGGGGTTGGGTATTACAGGGATTTTACCACAGTTAGGCATGGTGATAAGTGTTCCTTTCATAAAATGGCAGGAAAATATTCAATATATAATTTATTTTTAATGGTAACACTCCACTTATTTATTAATACAACTTCAAGTAATGTAATTTGTTAATGGTAGGCTATGGCTGCCACCGGTCAATGATTATCCATGAATAGCATTGTTTATTTAATAACTTGGCGTATTAATACAAAATTCAATCAACGTGTGCAGTCATATGTATCCAGAATAGATCATTAGGTTTTAGAACCAGAACCACCCATTTAATAAACTTGTGTTTAGCTGAGCTTGCAATCAGCCTCAGTGATGATGTCCACCAACCCTATATGCAATAAACAGGAAAAAGTAGTTAATAAAATTATAACAACATGGTAGTCTCAGTACTCCAACGCATGAGGTATGACAGAGATTTGTTAGCATTGCAACTAAATTTGTGACTTAGCAGGACACACCTTCCAAGTCATGGGACTGTATAATGAGGACAGAAATCCAAGCTGCCCAAAAACATCTCCTTCCATTTGACCTTAAACACAAACACAGATGGACTGCCATGTTTTTGTGATAAAGAAAACGAAAACAAAACACAGGAGTGGCCTTCTCAGGAAGTGGAATTACGAACCGAAACTCGTACGATAACGGTTTAGGACAGGTTGAGTCTTGATTCGCGACAAAGGTTTGTTTTGTTCAGATTCCACACAGTTGCATTCCGTTGTTGAAAATGTTCCTGGGGAAGTTCTGACATCCCTGTTCCAAGTCCTTTATAATTTAAACAATCAAGAGAACTTATGCACTGATGTGCACAGACTTCACTGCTTTGTTGCCTTTCATAGACAGAAGCACACAAACATTTCAACACATCATCCAGTTTGCTCATGAACTAATGCTCTAATGTTAGAGAAGTGCTGTCATCATCATACAGTAGCAAGCCCAGGAGATATCCTAGCACAGTGCAGTGTCACATTTCCCGCCTGAGGAGAGCGGCCTGAGGAGAACCTTATCACGGTCTTGTGTGTAATGAAGTATTAGCAGCCTACATTCCGCCTCCTATCAAACTCTCACCACAGGCATCCACGGAATCTTGGGAGAACGACTGTTGTTGCTGAAACCCCATTTCCATCTCCAGTGGCTGTCTCTAATAAAGCTGTTTACATGCTCTTTTAAAAGTGATCGTAAATATTGAGCTGTGAGAGGCATTAATTGGAGCAGGAGAGTCAACGTGAAACAAAAACTAAAACTTTGGGCTTCAGTCCACTAGTGTAAGGATAGCTCCAGTGGCTTATTGTCCCAGACGCTAATTACTCTCACAAAGGAGCAGGAGGAGGAGGAGTGGAGAAGATGTTGACATTGTACAACAACGAACAACAACCAGACGGTGGCGTCCTGTCAGGTTTTTGTTGGAAACTCATTCCTGGCAGGCAGAGGACAAAAAAGTGCTTGTGTTTGTTTTCTGTGTCTCTGTTTCTGGCAGCAGTACATCAGATTTGTATTTATGATCTTGACTTACTACGTCAAAATGATGACTTTATTTCAAGAAAGTGAAGTCATTATTTTTTAATATTAAGTAAAAAAATGTCATACTCCTGCCAGAAACAGGAAGATTTTTTTCTGAAATTTTTAATGCGCACTAGTTTAGGATGACTATTTCGATGAATCTAGAACAGTGAACATCTTTGTGACTGGCTGTAACAGCTAACCTACTTAACCATTTGAAGCTGACAGGTGTGCTACATTTACCTGAAGAGCTACTGTTCTAGGTAATTTAATCCCAAACATGAAAGAAGTTCTTTACTTGATCATTTACAAGTTCTCTACACTCTTAATAAAGATGTTTCTTTAGTAAAGGCATTAGTTCTATTAGAACCATGAGTTCTATATAGAATCATTTCATTCTTAAATGGTTCTTTGCATGCTGAAACGATTCTTGATTGATGGAGAATCTGTTGTATGGTTCTATATAGCACCACAGAGGGTTCCTCTACTGTTACAATGTCAAGCCTGTAACAACAAAAGAACCCATTTCCCACCCATCTGACGAGCCATTTCACCCAGTAAAGAACCATTTAAGAATGAATTGGTTCTATATAGGACTCACTAAAAAACACTTGAAGAGCCATCGTTTTTAACAATACACTGTTAAAATGACTGAACTGTATGTCAGTGTGTGTCTGCGTCTCAAACCGAAACAGTAAGTCGAGGTTTGCTTAAGTATAAACCTGGACGTACTGAGCGAGTCTGATTCCCCAGTTCCTCAGCGAGACGCTCACTGAGGGAGTAAGTTTAACCTATTTAACTTAGTTCTGTTGTTGTACTTGAGCAGGTAAACCAAAGCACAAGTCCTCGCAGCTCCTCATTATTACCTTCAGCAAACATCAGTGAAAAGTTCACTTACAGTGCAATATCTCTCTCTTACCTTTGTGCTTTTCCATTTTTTTAGACGCCAGCAACTGCTTTTCGCCGAACTCCTCGTCCCTGACAGCGGCTGTAATAAAGCAGTCCACAGTTTTGTGTCCTGTGCCGAGGTGAAGGTGAGGAGGCTCTTCTGACAGCCCCGTTCACCCTCAGCGGGATCCAGCTCTAACGCGCTGAGAGCGAGACTCCGAGCTGAGCGGAGCTCTTTCTGTTTCCACCCGTATTCCAGCAAACCGCACCCGCCCGTCAAACGATTGGCCTTTAGTTTGTTCTCGAGGCAGTCCCGAATGTCTCTGACCAATCAAAGAGCAGGAGGCGGGGCTTGTCTGAACACGGGTGGTGTTATTACCATCCAAAGCATCATCGGTGGTAAAAAAACGCTTTTCCTTGGAGTAATTAAACCTGGAACATCTACATGATGAGGCAGAAACTCAGAACCGAGGCAGCATAATGAGATTACATACACAGAAAGATAATAATACAAAGCTATTTGTGTAAAATAAATAAAACATATCCGGGAAACTGGTGCCAAAATAAAGGTTTGAGCTATTAGCTATTAGCCTGTCTTTGTAGGTCAATTCACTAGTGCTAATTATACTTGAAGGGGAATTCCACCGATTTTTCAAAAATTTCTGCATAAGTAAGTGGTTGAGAAATAAATAAAGTCAGTCAGAGTGGTTTGATGTGAAATGGTTCATTTTGTAGAGAAACTTATAAACTCTGATTTCTTTACATGGTGGTGAGAGGAACCAGGGGTACAGATGTCTACAATGTAAAATAGACATTTTATTTACTTTCTAAACCACCAGTGAATCTGTGCATGTCTTCTGAGTTTGTTTATGTAATGTTGATGATGGTAAAATAGTGGGAAATCTGAAATAATTTTCTTTAGGGACTGGTTTGCCTTACAGTACCCTGCATGTACTCCTTTGCCATTAAAGGATTAAAATAAATGGATTACCAAAACGTTTAAGGCCAAAGGTTTATCACAAAACTACACTGTAAAAAAGCCAGCTTTTAAACTTAAAAAAGTAAATAACCGGGATAACTTGAAATGCTGAGTTCACGGAACTTAAAAAAAATAAGTTACCAAATGTAAAACATAAATTAGTCTTTTATTCACTTAATATTATTTACTATTTCTTACAGTACAAGAAAATATTACAAGTTCTGTGAACTCAAAATTTCAAGTTAACCTAGTTACTTACTGTCTGTTTAAAAGCTGCATTTTTACAGAGTACTGTAAAGCAATGTCTCAGGCACCAGGCAGTATATTCATAACCATTTGTGTATAACTTTCTGTGATGTGTGTATAACTTTCGTGAACCCATATCGTCTGGTTCCTATCACCACCACTGTGAACAATTCTGATTGGGTCAGTTTCTTTAGGACGGTGCATTTCACACCAAACCACTCTGAATGATTGTGTTTACATCGTAACCATTTAATTATGTGGAACTTTTGAAACATTGGTGGAGTTCCCCTTTAAGAAGCAATGGTTTCCCCAACTCGTCAGATGTTCAGTGAGCTCCTTTGGTTCTGTTGATAGATTCTGCCGATTTGAACAATTAAAATAACTTGTTCGGAGCCTCTGCGATAGTTTGTGGGCTGCTTCATCGGTGCTGCCAGTGAAAGGGAAGGGAGTCGAGAGGCATTATTATATGAATAACCAAACTAACCCAATCTATTTTCTTTTCCATAGATTATTCCTTTGATTTTGGAAGGAGAATGTCCATGTTCCCAGAAAGCAGCCCCCGCTTTCTGCCCGAGGGAGGAGAGTTTCTAAACCTAAAATGAGGGAGCGACTCCTGGGAGCATCGCGGCCTGGGCAAAACACGGCAGGAATGCGCTGCGCATGCGCCTTACAAGATCTCCTGTGAGGAGAACCGTTGGTTGGTTGCGAACGCGGGCGAGCAGCGCAGTGATGATGCAGGAGTTTGAGAAGAAGTCCAAGCCCCCCGGTCATGTAAATAAATAAGCGACTTTTGCAGTGTGCTGCTTCCTTCCCTTAGCCCACATGGTGATTTCAGAAGGCCCTGCACATTCCTCACAAAACTCTTTGAAGGCAGAGCAGGTTTTGTTGACCTCAGGCTTCTCTCCTTTTTCTCAAACTTACTCTAAACGGGGAAGGTGAGATAGCCAGTCATCAACAAACCTCCTGGACGATGTGATGTCCAGCCATGCAGGCCAGTCTCCACATTGGTAAGCGCACCACGGGCCGGTTTGCTAGACCCAGTTTAAGCCTAGAGTGATTAAACTTTCCAATTATGAATTACTATCACCATTTAAGACAATCTGCAACCAGGAATCCAGGAATCTGCCTCTGTGAGTATTATGGTATGAACACAGGCGAACATGGTCAAACAAGGCTATATTCTCATCCTGTTATCATGTGTCCATTGGTCAGTCGTGTGAGAACTCAGCTGTCTTCCTCTCTAAGCAGGGTGAATGAGAGTCACATGCTCTGAGAAGCTGACCCCTCTGCAAAACCCCATGGGGGCTGAAGAAAGTTTCCATCTAAACTCTCCCGCACCAAGCACTTTCCTGCGAATCAGGAGTTTCAGAGGGACATACAACTGATAGCGTGCTGTATTTGTTTTCTCCTTGCGGATAAGCAGGTCAGTCGAATTGCACACTGCAAGCAAACATGCGGTTTCTAATTCCCCCTGGGTAAACCACTTTGTGGTGGTTGGAAAGAAGGGTCATCAACTGTGAACTGGCTGCTGCTAACTATAGAAAACCAGTAGCAATGAAAATGCAGCTTCACTGTCCACTGAATGATGAATACCTTGCTACCTCCTGCAAATACCCAGATATTTAAAAGCCCAAATTTAAATTAAAAAGTTTGATGTGGCATATAAACTCTGTTGAAGGGGAAATCTGTCCAGTTTTTCACAATCTAAGTAAAAAATGAAATGATTCAGAGGGGTTTGATGTAAAATAATTCAATCTAGAGACACTTGCAGACTCTGACTTCATTACAGTGGTGGTGATAAGAACCAGAGGTTACGGTGTCTACAACATATTGTCATTTTGTTTACTATCCAAAATGACCAGTAAATCAGGAATGCTAAGACAGTCGTAAATCTATAAAATACACTTTCAGCACCCTGCATGTACCTCTCCACCATGAAGGCCTTTTTAGAGATACATTGTAAAAATATATGCACTACTAAATATATTGGTATATAGTATCACACTCAACATTCCATCCTCTGAAACTACTGTCTCAGACCAGTGTTTCTTCTAGCATCTTACTTACCTGCCTTATTACCCCACTTATCCCTTTCTTTCTTTGCCACTATACACCCTTTAACTGCTGCTGCACTCATCACTTTAATTTAAGACACATACTTTGCACAATGTAAGTTTTACAGGTATGACTGTGTGTGTGTGTGAGTGTGTGTGTGTGTATGAGTGAGTGATGGTAGGAATGCATGTTTTATCTTATTTTATTTTGTTCACTACATGTAAATGTTTGTCTGATAGTGTGGACTGTGAGCTCCTGTAACCAAAACCAAATTCCTTGTATGTGTAAGCAGTCCCGGCCAATAAAGCTTGATTCTGATTCTGATTCTAAAAACAGTGCATATATATGTATCCGCCAGGGTTTCCATATACTACTAAATACCAATATTTGACCAGTAAAAACTCTGCAAGACCTGTCAGATTCAAATCTCACCAGACATAATGACCAGTAACAAACTAAAATGACCTAAAGTAGCTATAAACATTTAAATAAGTATAATCCTGTGGTGATTCCCCCCTCTGCTGTTCTGTTCTGGGCCACCACCAATACTACCGGAGCAGGGGGCGGGGTTTGTCCAAATATGGGTGGTGTTGTCATCATCCAAAGCAGCATCAGTAGCAAAAACACTTTTCCATTGAAGTAATTAAACCTGGAACACCTACACGATGAGGCAGAAACTCAAAATCGAAGCAGCATAATGAGATTACATACACAGAAAGGTAACACAATGCTATTTTGTTGGTGAAATGGTGCATATCTGAGAAAATCGATGCCAAAACAAAGGCCTGAGCTATTGGCTTCTCTTTGTGAACAGCAGAGGTCAACTACTCATTCTCAGGGGAATGGGGAAGGTCACCAATCTGAAAACACTACCCAAAGAGGGTGCCGACTTTAGACACACTAATTAAGCTGAAAAGTACACAATTAAATACAATCAACACGTTTACACATCTCAACAAGCAACAAATTTATTAATTAAATAAAGGCCGGGGAGAGGTGCATAGCATTCTAGGAATCCTCTCTGCTCTCCCAGTTGGCCCAAACCTTAAATCTAGTGGTGATTTCCCTAACTCGTCAGAGCTCCTTTTGTTTTGTTTTGTTGATGTTTCTTTGAACAACTAAAATGACTTGTTCGGGTTAGTTGCAGAGCCTCTCATAGGGCATCATTCACCAGTTGTTCTTAAGAAGAAATTTCTTCTTAAAATCCACTTAAACAGTTTTTATGAAGATTCTGACATTCACCATTGTTTTCTTATTTGGGATTTGATTGTAGGTAGAGACAGAATCTACACACACTCAAGAGCACAAAGGAGAGAACACTTCTGTAGTTTAAGAACAAATAATGAATCTGATGTGGACTTTTTCTTAGGATCTTTCTCAAGAACAAATTTAAGAAAAAAATTGAGAAGATATTGGTGAATGAGGCCCATTGTTTGTAGGCTACTTAATTATTGCTGCCAACACTGGACTGGAGACTGCCTCCTAGACTACCACTGTTTAACATCGTTTAACAGGACAGAGCTTCACTCAAGTTAGGAGAAATTCTACTGCCCTGTGCACTGAGACATTTAAGGCAAAATAAAGTTCCTGTAAGGTTTATTTTAAAACTCAGCTCCTTTACTAGCACTACGTTTCCACCACAACAGAAATGCATATATTTTGTCATGAATGTAGGACTATATACTGAAGAAAACAATTTGGACTGACAAATTCTCTCATGTTTGCAATATGTTTTTTCGTAACGTGCATGATAATGGAAACTTTAGATACATTTGACTGATGATGAGTGATATCACAATGAAAGTTTTGCGTGACATTAACTGGATGACTGGAATTACAACCAATTGTCTGGCAAACTGAATCATTACCAGGCACCCTGACCAGTATATTCTACTCAGACTACTTAGTTTGGAGTGTTTCAGCCCAGATTACTTTTTGAACAAGGTACAGTACAGTCTTAAA